GATTGTGTGAGCACAGGACAAAAATAAAACAGCTTATTCACTGTACGAGCATTTGTTTCATGGATTTTATTTTTTTTTTATTTATTATTATTTTTGTAAAAGCTGAAGCATGTCAGGGAAGGGAAACAGCCTCCTCTTGTGGGTCCTTCTCACCCCCGGTGGCTCCTGGCCGTGTGCAGGTCTGGTTTGCTTCCGGGGATGGGCTGGGGAGGGAGCCGCTGTCCTCCCCGTCTGCAGGTAACCACCGCCGAGGGGAGGAAGAGGAAAGGCTCCTCGCTGGTGGGGAAGGGCTCTGGCTCAGCCGCTGGCCTTGCTGCCCTTCACAGCAGCCTCTGCTCAGAGCAGGCTGAGGAAAAGTGTGGTTCTGGTTAAATTTGCAGCTGTGCCGAGCAAGTCCCGGGTCCCTCGGCCAAAGCCACCAAAGCTGCTGTAGTTCAAAGGCTGGGGTGTGGCCTGTGGCCGCAGGTCAGAGCTGCTGTGGCACCGCCCGAGCCCCCTCCTTGGCGCTTCGACGCCCGGAGCGCGGCGTCCTGCCTCCCGCTTGGGCGAGCAAATGGCATCGGCGCAGCGCGAGCCCTCCCTGCCCTCCCGCAGCTCCAGCCAGCGCCGCTGCTGCTGCACAAGCCCCACCTTCCCCACAGGTTTCGGCTGTAGCGTTGGTTACAGAGCCAAAGTTTATTTAAGTCACGAGTGTATTTATATCAGGCTCTGCAGGCTGGCTCCTGCCCCGACCCCCCTCTCTGCGGGACCAGGCCTGGGCAGGCCCGGCAGGAGCCCCAGCCCCGGAGGGAGCAGCGTTTGGAGCAGCGGAGCGGACGCAGGGGCAGTGCTGACCCCTGGGCTCGGCTTTGCCCTGCGCTGGGGCTGGCCCCCACCTCGCTGCCTGTTGGGGCTGGTGGCAGGGGAGGCCTGGCTGCGAGCCGGCGGGCAGCTGCCAGCCCAGCACTGGTTTGCAGCCCAGTCCCCAGGCAGGGCTCAGCAGAGCTCGGTTTGCCTCCAGCTGGGCTCAAGGGCAGGCCCTGACTTTGCTGCTCTTTTGCTGCCGGGGTGCAGACAGAGCGCGCCTGGGCCGACATGGGAGCGGCTCGGGGAGGGGGGACGAGGCTGCAGGGAAGCCAGGCTGCTGCCGAGGGCCTTCCCCCTCCTGCACCAGGCAGGAGCCCAGGCCCTGCAGAAGCCGCCATGCGCAGCTCAGATGACGGAGGGGGGGGGACGGAAAAGTGCTCCTGGGAACTGCTGCTGCTCCAGCAAGGGACGGGGCTGGCGCAGAACCGCTGCGCTCCGAGAGCAGCATTTTGAGATGCCTGCCTTGCGGCTCAGTGCGCAATCAGCGCTGTAGAATTGGTGTTTTTTTGGTTTTTTTTTTTTGTAGTTACCAGTGCCTTTCTCTAAGGCTTTAACGTCCACCGCCTTACCGGCAGTGCTGCTGTAGGTGCCAGCTTTTCTCATCTGGTGTCACAGAATCACAGAATGTTTTGGGTTGGAAGGGACCCCCAGAGGTCACCCAGCCCAACCCCCCTGCAGGAGCAGGGACACCTTGAACCACATCAGGTTGCTCACAGCCCC